AGTATATTGAAATCATTTCATAGTCATCTATCAGTAATGTGACTTTTTAAAAAAAACTAATTATAATGCTTATTTTGATTACTTTTTTTTTTTTTTTGGTGGACATGTAACAAAAAACAAAAAAAAAAATATCATTACAAATATATAAATATCACCCCATTCAGGCAAGGACAGTGACAAGTAAAAGACTAAACAGAGCTCCAGCAGTAAGACCTAGTGAAAGCGCAAGGGTCATGAGCGAACCCCCCTTTTCACGCTCTTGGGGCTCCACGTAATTGGGACTTTCCATCATGGCACTAGAACCAAGGTGACCGTTTGTAAAGCCAAAGAAAAAATGTAACACCAGATAAACCTCATCTCCCAACCAAGTCCCCAGTAGTCCACCACCCCCAGCTGTGAGCCGGCCGTTAAGATTAGTGAGAAGTAAAAACGCCGGCAAAAATGCAAAGCGGGCTAGACTGTAGATTATAAAGTTTCTGTCGCCGTGGACCACCCACTTGGGTAAACCGCAAACTAGCCGGCCAACTAGGTCGCCGAGGTTCCACACAAACATGGAAAATGGAATGAAAACGTCGCGGTTGAAAATTATGGGGCTAATATGCACAGGCTGCACGAGCTGAGCGAAAACTGGATATGCAAGGGTGACTGAAAATACTGAAAAGACTGTAAATATGGGTACACGTAGTTTTGAGATCAGCTTGACCGGGTCAACATTTTGAGGCTGGGTTAAAGAAAATACTTCCAAATCATAGTCCTCGTCTTCAGAGTGAGGGGCGCTAGCATCTTCCCCGAGCAGTGAATCGTAAGACGAGTCAGCTCCATCGTGCAAAAGGACAGCTGATGTCTCTGGGTCGGTAATACCAGTTGAAACTGATTTAGGATCAGTCTTTAGCACAATTTTAAACAACACAAAAGCCGTTAGAGCAGCTATCGATGCAATAAGAAAGTAAAAAAATGTTGATTTACCACTAATATCATTGTCCTCTCCCCCCGGTTTGTTGCTCCCAGATGATGTACTAGAGATGATGGAAATGATTGATACGATTGGCGGCAGAATACCGGCAATGGCTTGACCAACCATAATGGCCTGAGTATAAATGGGTCCAAACAAGCTAACAATAGCAAAGGATCCGTTTTGGGCTAATGATGTACCAACAGTGGAGTTGAACATGGCCACGAGTAAGAACAAAAAATACCCAATGCCAGTAGCGATTTTGGTAAAGAGCACGCAAGAAAAGGCAAGCACGATGAAAACAAGACCAATCAGCAGCTCACCGGTAATGACGCGGTTTTCGTACCTAGCGGTTTCCTGGTCTGTTCCACTCTTTTCAGCGGCCACTGCTGCTGGTGTTGCTACCGACACAAGGCTATGTTTACTTTTTTTACTTGTATTAGGGGCAGTGCGCTTGAATACAAGCAATATGAAAGTAATAGTAGAGGTTACTGTACTTATAATCATGAGACAACTAGCCAAGTTTTGCTGGAGCAGTGGGTGTCCCACGAGCCGGGAGTGAAAGTATGGCACCGCGGAGAGAAAGCAGTTCCAGGGCCAGAGGTATGAGAGTCCAATAGTCAGAAAGGTTGCATACTCAAGTTTGTTGATAGTCGTTGATGAAGACATGGAATGTTTACAAAAAAAAAAATAAGAAATCCTTCTATCTTATTATGAAGGAGAAAAAAAACAAAAAAAGAATTAATGATGATTGTTGGTGGTAATTTGTGTTTTTGACAATGCTGGAGAGAAGTTTAATGATGATGATAAGAGCAGACAAAATAAAAAAAAATAAAAAAAAGGTTAAAAACAGTATCAACAGATAATCAACAAAAAAATATGTATATGATAACACAAAAACTATGACACTATCTATGAAAGGCGAGAATGGTTCCTAGTGCTTATTTTATTATTTAAAAAACATTTACTGAATTTTTATTTGCTAGTTTGATTGGATAGTAAAATAAGAAAAAGAGACCGAAGAAGGGGGGGGAAGGAAACAAGTTACAAATGCTGATGTTTTATGTACTATGTTCGTTTTCTTTTTATTTTTTTGGTTGATTGTAACAGTTTAAAGAACAAATTCACGAGAATCATAAACAAAAAGCAAAAAAAAAAAAAAAAAAGCTAAATACATAACCAGCTGTATCAATGCCATTAATTCATTCTCTTTTATATATATATATATATATGTAAATAGCTCAAAGTGATAATGTAATTTAGTGGTTATTGTTTCATTTGTGTTAGTTGTGTTGGTCGATATATATATACATAGACATCTGACATTTTGAAAACATTATCAGTACACAAGTATACACACATTGATCAAGGTATCTTTCAAATTGATACTACTTGATATAAATCAAATTATTTGAAAACAAATTATTGAAACATATGTCATTCAAAAAAAACAAAAAATGAAAACACCCATTTATCCTGCAATGATATAGATAGGCCATGGGGTGTAGTAACTATGTAATCGATATACTAACTCTTTTGTTTCTACTTTTTTTTAAAAAATATTATCAAACAGCAACAGTATCATATCATTATTTAGCAACGTGAAGTAGTAATATGATGTATATAACCAGTATTTTGATGACATTTATATTAAAAAAAAAAAATATGAAAACAAAAAAGAATTATTAGTGAGCAATATTATACGGATTACCCCCTTTTTTGCTCTTGTGGTAAAGCTCAAAAATAATACGTAAGAATAATACACTGAACGTATAGTATACACATGTTGAAAAAAAAAAAAAAAAAAATCAAAGTTTGCTCTGTGAGTTGAAACGCAACTAAGATTTTCTAATTATTATTTGATAAGATCAAAAAATGACACCATAAATGGCAGTTATTACTTTCGGATCCAAGCTTTTTACAGGTCACAAGATCAAGATGATAAAATAATAAATTCAATTCATGAAATAATAAAAATAAAAAATGGGTTTCTCATATACACAATTCATAACATCATTAAGAAATCATGTACCAAGAATAGAAAAGACCAAAGCATGCTACAGCGCTCAACAGACTGTGCGTGTAACAATATGTAGAGAAAAAAAAAAAAAAAAGTATATGGCTGTAGCTAGCCCGCGCAGCAGACAGTTAACTTTGCATCAATGATTTTTTTTTTTTTTTTTGTCTTTTCTTACTCCTTGATACTGTTTTCAAAGGCAAGTTTAGCGGATCGGTTAACACCCGAAGAAGAGTTGGAGCGGCGACGCTGGTGAGCAAAGTTGAATTCACCTTCGAGTTCGAGGTCCTCAATCTCATCACCAATCTTGCCCCAGTTTCCGGCACCGTGGCCATCCTTCTTGACCTTGTTGGGGGCCTGGTTAGGGATGCCGTTCTTGCCAAAGTAGCGAGGGAGTTCCTTGTCGCTTTCAGAAGAGGAGTTGGATCTAATGGTTCTGGTCATGGTTTTTTTTTTTTTGTTTTATGTGTATGTAAAAAAGGTGGGTAGTGATTGTATGAAAGTTTGTTTAGTTGAAAAAAAAAATATATATAGCAGCTGCAGAGGGAAGTAAAACGAATTTGGTTTGAAGAGAAGCGAGTGATAACATGAGAATCAACGAAATATTTATAGTTTTTTTGTTCTCATGTTTGTACTATGTGTTGAGAAATTGTATAATAAAAAAATAAAATAAAAAAAATCTCATGTTTGCTATTTTTGCTAAAACAGGTGATCTAATTTGTTTTGCTGTTTTATGGGAGTCGTTGAGTTTTTTTGTTTTTGTTTTTTTGTTTTGTTTTCAGAGTCGTATAATAATTATTATTATATTGTGGGGTCAAAAACACAAACAACAAAAATGCTGTTAACTGGCTTCTTTTACACGTCAAAAACGTTTCAGGGTTTTTCTTGCCACCCTTTTTTTTTGGTTTTGTTATTAACGCACAGGAGGAGGGGTTTTTACTTCTAAGCCTTGATGTGAAACTATTTTTTTTTCTTTTTCTTTTTTTCAAACAATAAAAAATATCTTTCAATTAGAAGATTTGAGTCCTCGAAAAATACGGATTTGTTTTGAAATTCCCGATGCCACATCGAGAATAATTAGTTCTACCAAAGTCATAAACTCGTATTTTCTAGAATTTTTTTTGTTTTTTAAAGAAAAAAAATTGAATAATATTCATGGTTTCTCGGTTAGATGTTGTTTAACCATATCAATACTTATCATCATTATGATTCTACTCCTCAAGTTCTGATATTTTTGGACAGCAGTAATAATATGACCATTAAGAGAACCTTTTTAAGCCATTGATATGAATTCAATTCCAGCATGCAGTGTTACAGACGAAATAAACCATTTTACAGAACGTAACATGGATAATATCGGTGATCAAAGTTAGGGTATTTTGTAACCAAATAAAATGTATTTTTTTTTCTTTTCTCAGATGGTTTTGGTATTTCAAAAACTAAAATCAATAAAAAAAAACAATCCAGTAATAGTTGGAATAGATGTTTACGTATTTCATTTTTATCCGTAAACTGGAATTTTAGAAAGGAGGAGGTGTTTTTTTTTTTTTTTGTTTTAATTTGAAGAGATCAAAGTGAAAAAAACACTGTTTTGTTTAAACTTTGCTTTTTTTTTTTTTTTTTTTTCCTGCCAAATATGATCATGTGATAAATTACTGTTTTTGAAATGGACTTTCGAGGAGGGTGGGGGGGGAGAGAACGTGGTTGGTGACAAAATAATATGTGTACACACATGTAAATGACGTAATATATCATGTGATAACAGTGGTTTTTTACCAAAGGTCATGTGATAAGTGGCAAAAAATCATGTAAAGCAATAAATTAACAATGAAAAAAAAAAAAAAAATTAATTTAATCAAAAGTAAAAAAAAAAAAAAAAAAAAAAGTGGCATTATAGAAAATAGATAAAACAAAAAACTAATTAAAAATTAACATGAATGAAAAATAATCAAAAAAAAAAGTTATAGATTTTACTTGAATTTTGCTCATATGCTACTTGTAGGCAACCAAAGGTTGTAAAATAACAAATTGGCCTTGCTAGCTCAATCGGTAGAGCGTGTGACTCTTATTAATTCTGTTCATAGAATATCAAAGTCATCACAAGGTTGGGGGTTCGAGCCCCCCGTAGGGCTATTTTTTTGGAAAAAAAACAGCATAAAGTAGTAATATCTTTTATTTTTTTTTATTCTCGCTTACTTAGCGTTATACACTGATTAATATGGATTATATATGCTACATGAAAATCTTAAATCTTTTTATTCCTGTTTTTTTTTGTTACTCTCCTTTATAATAATCTTGTCAATCTATTCTAAATGGATCAAGACTTATTTGTGTTGACTAAATTGATTACAATTTTCAAAAAAAAAAAAAAAAAAAAAAATTCATTCAAGGCTAGAATCTCATTTAAGGTTGTTTAAATGTTTGTTTAGCTTGCATTATTCATATGTATAGTCTTATGTCAGATTAGATCTAGTCGGCCAGTGCTTCATCTGTAGCTGATTGCCACTACCTCTCAACTTGCTGGGTTCCCCCTCGGATTAAGTAAGAAATTGGTGAAAAGCGTAATAATTGAATAATTAATTAAGAGGTGACAGTTATAGTCACGACAACAACACGAAAAGTAAAAAAGTGAAGATCTCAATAACGGAGATCCGAAGAAGACCAAAAGTCCTTGAAGGACGACGGTATGAGAACTATCAAGACAGTGAAGTCACTGGCTTAAAAATTAGTAGATAATTGATTGATTTATTTGAAACAAAATTATAGAGGCAACTAGCTAGCTTTCATAGATAACAATAAAATAAAAAGAAAATATATACATATAGAGAGAGTTTCTTTAAAACTTGTAATGAGGGAGGTTATTGTAAACGATATGACCAGTTACAAGAAGGATAGTAGTCATGCCGTACAGTTCTTAGACTCAGTACTGAATGGAATTGGACTTATGACTTCCAAAAAAGCAAATAAGACAAAAGGTATAAGACTTAGTTAAATCAGTGGAAATAACTAATTTCAATATGAAAATCCGGGTTTGATACCTTACAAATAATATTACACAATTATAACCAAGACAGTATATAAATTTCGTTATAATTAACGTGGCAAAAAAAATATATATTTTTTTTTTTTGTGGTGGAAAACATCAACTTGTTATACAGTATATGAATGTAAATCAAGTCCCATATTATATTATCACTGGACAAATGGCCCAAGAATTGATGGTTACTGGATCTTACATTAAAAGGTTTCCAAGTTTAATTAAGACAAAATATACACTTTTTTTTTTTTTATTAAAAATATCATTTAAAATACAAATTTCCTTAAGAATTTTATTTATCTCGAGGAATCAAGAAATTGAAAAAAAAAAAAATAAATAAAGAAAATTTCTATCTAAAAAATATTCATGAAATGTGGCTTGTTTTTTTGTGCAATTTCACGTTTAATAGTATAAAACAAGCCACACAACAGATGATGAGCCACATATTGTGTTGCAAAAAAAAAAAAAAAATAGTAGAAAGAAAAAAAAAAAAAAAAAAAAAAATTTTATTTTTTTTTTTTTTGAAAAATTTTTTAATTTTTTTTTTTTTTTTTTTTAGAAAATATCAGAATATCGGGTGACTTTGGGCTTTTTTAGAAAGTGTTTTTTTTTTAAAGGTTTAATCTTGGAATAGATTAGTAGTAAAGCAAAAAAAAAAAAAAGATTGAAAAAAAGTTGATAAAGTTGGTCATTTTCAAGTAACAGTCCATAAAGCAAAAACAAACTAATATACTGGTTTGTTGAACAAGAAACTAATGTGTAGGCTCTAAGCAAAAAAAAAAAAAAAAAAAAAAAAAAAAAATAAATATAAAAACTGGACCTATCATGACGTGTGTAGCGATCAGATAACAATTTTTTTTTTTTTCACTTAAATTTACATGATAACCTTAAACTTCTTGGTCAAAAAGGGACTTTTTTTCAACAGGTGGCGACTTTTTGCAGTTATTATTTTATATGTAACCATAACTCATGTAAAAAAAAAACAAAGTACTGTTGAAACATTTGTAAATCAAGTGCTTAAGAAATCCAAGTAGATATATTGAACAATAGATATTAAATTTTGTCATTACCTATGACTGATATGTTGATAAATTGTATTTATCTGACTCAATCCATTCATTTGACAATGTCAGTTTCATATACAAGTTTCTCTGAAAAAAAAATTTTTTACTCTTACAAGACTCGGCCGTTACTATTTTTCACATTTATAACACAGTTCTTTTCTTGTTTATTTGTCTGTTTTATTATTATTATTATTATTAATAAATACATTTTTTAATCTTTTTCTTTTGACCAATAGTATTTCTACTTTTAGAAATCATTAGTAATTTATTTTATTACTCTATTAGTATCTGGCCAATAAAAACACACTTGTTTGTAATTTTCAAAAAAAAAAAAAAAAATTTTTTTTGTAACGTGAAAATTATTACTTGAGAAAGATGCCCTTTTTAAATCATTCAAAAATATTCATGTCGTTCTGTCATTAATCAGAAAAGTTTAAAAAACAAAAAAAAAACAAAACGGCTTTTATCAGATCTTAATATATAAATCATCTCCCACATCCCAGCTCTGACTTAATTTCACCTTTTTTTTTTTTTTTTTGCCTAAATTTATTCATAACCCCGAAAAAAAAATAATTATTTTCATCTTTTTATTACCAGTTATTTTATACCTTAATCTACAATACAATGTCACAAGAAGCTCTCATCGTCCTTGACGCCTCAGTCGTCGCTCAGCCCGACGCAGTTTCTTCCCTCACTGACCGTTTTCAATCAACATACAAGGTCCATCGCCAGGTTCTCGACCGCCTCTCCAGCAAGACCATTTTGTCTAACCACTACGCTTACATCTACGTCGCACCTGAAAATGTCACGCTTTCCGCCACCCACCTTCAGGTTCTCTTTGATGCTCTCATCGAGGGTGGTCGCCTTGAAGGTCCCATCAACTACAAGGCCCAGACCTTAAATGCAATCATGACTGGCTTTGTCGAGAATGATGCTAAGACTGGCTACACCAAGCCTCAGTCTAATGCGTCTACTGCGACTCTTTTGAAAAAGAGTAGCAACGCCACTAACACCAAGAAAAAGCTCATATTTAAGCGTGCCATTGATTTGGCAGCCCCTGAAGATGACGACGACTTGGTTGATGAGGACAGCCTTATATCTTCTACCATTCTCAGCCAGCCTATTGTCATCCCTGAAAAGTGCGCTACTACTGCTGGTGGCAAGAAACGCCGGAAGGCTTGCAAGGACTGTACTTGCGGTCTCAAGGAGCTCGAGCAACAGGAACTTGAGCGCCAAAATCAACAACAATCTGTTGTCACTTTAAACCTCGATGAAGAAATTGATTTTACTGTCCCTGGAAAGGCAGTAGGTTCTTGTGGTTCGTGCGCTCTTGGTGACGCGTTCCGTTGCGATGGCTGCCCTTATCTTGGCCTCCCGCCTTTCAAACCTGGTGAAGTTGTCTCCGTTGGTGGTGTCCGCGGCGACTATTAATTAAAAATGGCATTGTTACTTTTTCTTTCGCATTCATATATATAGCATTGTTTTTTTTGTTTTGTTTTGATTTTTGCATATAGCTTTGTTTTAGTGTTTTCAATTATTATTATTTTTGTATATATATATATATATATTTTATCAGATAAATTAGATGGGAAAAGTGGTTATTGCTCTTAGTACACATACGTAGTTTTCTAAACAAATTAATAATGAAAAAAAAAAGGTACACAACGAATTCAAAAACATTTGTAGTTCTGAAATTCTTTATGAACTATATAAGTATACATAGTCAATATACTAAGGAAAAAAAAAGAAAAGCCTTGGAATATACGTATAACCACCACCTGGAAGATCAATACCGAAAACTAGTACACAAAAATATCTCAAACAAGCTGTTTAAATTAAGTTAACCCTCAGTGTAAAAAAAAAAAAAAAAAAAAAAAAAAAAAAAAACTTTACCACTTCCAGACCCTTATCAAGTAGAACTCTTGAAATCAAATTCTGAAAATTCATTATAACCAGTTTATTGTTCTTATTACAAGTTATTTAAAGGAAGATCATTTTGTACCTAAAAAAACACAAATATAAATATTTTAGTATGAAAATTTTAATATGTAAAAAAAGCGACCTCGGTGAGGGTTGAACTCACGATCTTGCGATTAACAGTCGCACGCCTTAACCAACTTGGCCACGAAGTCATTTACATATTTTGTCATAAGAAGAATCGATACAGACCAATAGGTGACTAAAGTAGTTGGCCACAAGAAATAGAGACAGAGCGAGAGGAACGTCCTGGGACGACGTTAAAAGCACTCAATCTTTTAAAAAGGCCAAATAATATTTTGGAAGATTCATAAAATGATATTTAGGATGTCAAGCCTCATTAGGTCTATTAAAAAGTGTCTTTCCTCGATCAACCTAACTCTTCGGATGCAAAGATGAGGGTAATTTCGCGATTGACCATGGGTCAGAAAAAAAAAAGAAAAGATATTTCAACAAAAAATGGCTGTATCCTGGTATTTAATACTTGATTCCCCAAATAAGGCAATAACGAACTTGAATGTTTTTGAGTTCCATGTCTTCTTTGTATATCTTTGTTATTATTATTATTTTAATTATGTAACTATGTGATGTAAGACCAATGAACAAATTTTCTATCTATCTCAAGAATCTTGATCTGCATGAATTGCTGGGTCTATGTCTTTAAAAACAGCTTTGAATGCAGCTGCATCCTGTTCTTCTTCAGTTTTTGTTTGTGCGCACGCACGCCAGTCCATGCGATGAGTCAACGACAGCGCATCAGCCACTACCCGTCGACCAAATTGAATATCAAAGCGGCGACGAGGATCATCACTTAGAGCAATGACAAACGTGGTAGTAGAAGTACCATACCTCTTCTTTTCCTCACTCACAACTACACTAGCGTCATCTTTATCATGAGTGTCATTGGTAGAGCGTGTGATCTGGAACCGAAAAAAATTAGTAGCCCCTGATGCAAGTTCAGGTGAAATCGAAGCGTTGTCAATCTCATTAACTTGCTGATACTTTTCAAATAATTTTTCAAGTTCAGCCGCGTGGGCTCCAGAAACAGCCAGCA